TGCCATTATGACGATTTTGAATATTTATATACTAAGTCTAGTGGTTTGCAACGCTTCAGCCTATTTATTGTTTCACTGTTGTCGAGTAAGCTAATATCCAGAACATTTGTATGTGACTACTAAATGTTGCTATTGTTTCAGTATTACTTTGTATATAAGTAATTTATTATCCACAGATAATTCCAACCTTTTTCATAGAAGTCTTCTGACATTCGACATATATTCCCAGATGTTTGACAAAGTAAAACATTGCTGAGAATATTGACAATGCACTTATTAAGTATATTTGAATTGAGCGGGATAAATAATTGTCTCCTCTATATACATGATCATTTAAAACTGGTTTTAATTTTGCAAAACCCAAAAATTTAACCAAACCCAAAAAAATACAATTGAGAGGTGTCAATAAAGTATTGAAAGTTTATCGCATTTCTGTTGATCCAAATATAAAATTAACGCAGCTATTCTTAGAACTTGTATCCAAAAATTATAAATTGCAAAGTTCAATTTATATCAGTCATGACAAACCTGTTGGGATCATGTAGTTTAACTTGATGACGTATTGCTTGGATTCAAAGATCATGAAATAATATGTTTTTGGCGTGTCACTGAAAATGTTTCGCCGTGTCACAACTGACACGTGTGTCATAGGTTTGCCACCACGGGTCTATATCTCTCCAAGAGTATTTACAAATATATTATTGACCAGACCTGAGCAACAGTATACCAGATTTTAAATATGGAATATTTTCATTTGAATTACTACAAAAAAAATCTAGTTTTTTTCCTGTACAATACGAATTAAATTTTGTTTTAGTATTATAAATTGTTGTAAGAAATAAATAACTCAAAAATTGTAATTTTTATACTTGAGATTTTTTTTTAAATAAGCCTTAAGTATAAAGAAACATCCGTATTTAAATTCACTATTTTTTTTTTATTATGTCATATAGTATTTATTTTTACAATCTATTTTTGTTTTTTGTGTTATCATCCCCAATAAAAGTTTTGCCATCATTTTTTCTTCTTATTTTATTGGTTAGCTGTGGTTTTGTAGGTTAACTTCATATGGATGCTCTGCAACTCCACAATTCCTTTGTATGTGTTTCTGCTGATATTCTTAACACCGTTAATGTCCATGGTATTGGCTGGAGGTCCATATGCTAAACATTTTGAAGTACACGTAATCTGCGCTTTATCAATTAAAACTATGAATAATTTATCGAAAATAATATATATAAATATATATAAAGAGCCATTACAAAATAGTTTCTTCTTTGCAATCGCTTCATCAGGTCGATTAGATGAATATTGAATATGTTTAAAATATTATATAAAAAGTTCAATATAATTATAAAATTGTATTTTGTTTTAGATCAAGTTGAGTTCTCACAGGCAATATTTCGAAACAGTGAAGTACAACAGAAACATATACACACACATCAATATACGAAAAAAACTGTATTGCAAATGGCTTTGCAAATGAGGAATTTAGACGTACAACCATTGGAAAAATTGTTAATAGACAGAGATGAAGATACTTTTATAACAGAGTACAACAAATTAAACAACAGCCAAACAAATTTTCTGGGTTCGGCAGTAGACAAAAATTTGCCGAAAGTTGTTGAATATCTCCTAGGAAAACAATGTGATCCGAATATCGAGATACAAGAAAAACCAATTATTACAATAGCTGGAAATAGGGGATACCACAAAATATTCAAATTACTAATTCAGAAATCGGAAATAATAATCCCAGACAACATTCTTTCTGAAATTTTGAAGTATATAGACTTGGATCCGATTCCGACAGAAGGAATTGATCGCAATATTTGTTTGAAATATTACATGGAAAATGCAAAGGAATTCAACGTTAACATTAAGGACACCAATGGGTGTTACCCATTGCATTACAGTTCTCGATACGGATCTTCGGAAGTTACAAAGCTGCTCCTTCAAAAAGGTGCTTCGTTGGCGAACCGTGACAAGTACAATGATCTTGTAGTTAAGGAGATAGACTTTGAGACTTTGAAGGACCACTTCGATTCTTGCATCACCACGAAATCAGACGTTACAAGCGTGAATACAAATGCTATAATAGTGTTCGACTACAACTGTCTATTGCCAACAACGGGAAAGAGCAAAAATTCCGATAAGATACACTTAAATCCACATATTGAAGAAACGGAAAATATTAGTGGTCCTCATTGCATTTCCGAAGAGGCACACGTAGATTTGAACATTAGCCAACCCTCCACAGTTTCTCCGCATATTTTTTCCAAGGAGACAGACGTGACTTTTTATATGAGCCAATCATCTGATTTAAGAAACTTGCTTCTTCATCCGTTGATTGAAAGTTTTCTGCACATGAAATGGGAACAAATAAGGTACATCTTTTGGGCAAACCTGATTTTCTACTTGGTCTTTTGCTTCTCTTTTATTTTGTATGTGTGCAATGATGGCCTTTTTTCTTCCATTGTACTTGCATCTATGAATTTTTTACTCATCGTAAGAGAAGTTTTCCAATTGATTGTCTTCAAAAAATATTTCAAAAATTTTGAAAATTACATTGAAATTGCATTAATTGTCGCTGTCATTTGGTTACTTGTTGCATCCACTGAAGAAACAAAGAAACAATTGATTGGTATAATTACAATATTAGCCACTTTCGATCTACTATTCCTACTGGGAAATTTCAGGTTACTGTCTACAAATGTTGTTATGCTACGCAGAGTTTCTTGCAGTTTTTTCAAAATATTTTTTTTCTACTTCATCATCATAATGGCATTCGCATTTTGCTTCTATATTGTTTTTAGTACAGATAAAAATTCCGAGTTTAAAAGTTTCTGGCCAGCATTAATCAAAACTTCAATTATGTTTTCAGGAGAACTGGACTCTGGTAATTTAAAATTAAATGAACGAAATTTTATAATTAATGTGGTATTTATTGCTTTTGTGTTTTGCATTGTTATTATTTTGTTTAATTTGGTGAACGGTTTAGCTGTAAGCGACACTCAAGAAATTAGAAACGAGGCTAAATTATTTAAATTGATCGCCCGCACAGAGTACTTAGCATATGCTGAAGATATATTGTTTGCAAATGAATTGATGAATAAAATTTTTTTGAAAATCTACATTTTTCTACGTACATGTTGTAAATGGCGGCGTGTCTGCATGCAGGATAATCAGTTAGAGGTTTACCCTAATCAAAAATATTTATGTACATGTATATGTACAACAATATTTCGAACCAGTTGGTACGAGAGATGTAGATGCAGAGGCAATGACGTGCTGATCGATAATTCCATAGTGAGATCAGCAAGAAAGATTATAATTAGAAGGAATAAATCTAAGGAAAATAGCGATTTTTTGGAGACTCTAATAAATATTAAAAATGAATTGATGGAAATGAAAAACCATCTTACACTTGAAAGAAAATTGCAGAATTTTAATGAGTCTAGATGTAAATCATTGTAGTAATTAACAAATTGATTTATATATACTTTCGAATTTCTATATTATTTCTATAGTCATTATATTATTATTAGGTAAGGTCGCTTTCCCAAGTGTAAATATTACATGAAATTAGATAACAGTTACCATGATCTCATTTTCAAATCTGAAATCAATTTGTTTTCTATTTTCTTGTTATATTATATTTGTTTGTTTTAGTATGATTTGTTACAATAAATGTTATTATTGTCTTATTAAATCGATTATATTTCAGTTCGTATAGACTTCAAATCAGCAATACCTCGCATAGTTACTTGCACTATGCAAGGTTCATATCTAATATCCCGGAATGTTTAAACTGGACTAATCTATTTTGTTTCATTTTTATGATACGTTTTAATTTTAATTTTTGTAATATGTTACTTTTCTAATAAATATTATTATATACGAAATATAAACATATTATTTACAATATTTATGTATACGCAGCTACTTTAGTTTATGTTTATTATGGCTATGATTTTATTACATAAAATTTGTCTATTGTTGCGTTTCTTCTGAAATTCTATATTTAATCGTAATAAGTTTATTTGCAATTCATTAATTGTAAACAATCAGTACCATTATGTTTACCATTAATCATAATAATGGTAAACATTAACCAATTTTAAACTTGATTAATTTTTATTTTATCATGATTAATTTCTTACCAGTAGCATAAGTTCATAAAAATAATTATTCTTACTGTAAATTATGTATATTCTGGTGAAAATAATTGTTTTATATAAGTAAAATGTAAATATAAATTGGTAATTTCCATTCAAATTATTCCTATTATTTATATTTATTTTTCCTTACTACTTGAATTTGAATTTGTTTAATATCTATTTAATTTATTTAAATTTTAGCTGATTGAGAATTTGTCGATTACGCTTAATTGGGACACGGGGTAATTCGGACAGCCGCTTATTAGGGATAAATCCTAAAGAACGGAAACAAAACTATACATATATATACATATAACAAAATTCCATTTAATCGGGACAGTAATCGTGTGTGAATCCCCGTATGCGCGCCATGCTCATGGATGCTGTGCTCGAACCACATCTATTGACGAACAGCGCCTGATACATACATATTTATTGTTTCAAAATTTATATAATTTTCTATTATGTAGCAAGTATACGTTTTTCAATATGTCTGCATACATATAGATTTATGATTTGCTTTATTTAATCGGGACAAAATGTACTAGTCCGGCAATCATTTAAAATTTTATAACATTGTATAAACTTTTTAACATAATTTAATTAATTATTATTGATAAATATTATTAATAAAATAAATATTTATAACATTAGTTTTAAAATTATTTACGTGAACAGTTTGGTTTGAAAAAGCATTTGCAAACAAATTAGCAGAAAAAAACAATAGTACGCAATTTTATGTTGATATAATTTTGATGAAGTCATTAAAAATACTGATGTATGCAGATGTTTATCAAGTGTCGTATGGATTAACGGATGGGTGGAGAATTTATGGTGACGCTTAGTCGTTGTTGTTGCTGCTGCCTGTTTGAATGAGCATTGAGCGTCCATATTTGGAGTTGGAGGTGGTCAAGTCAATTGGCTGTACAGGATATGGTCATAGTTTCTAGCCTAGCGTTGACACTGACGCAGCTCGGATTATGCAAACCATTCAATTTACGCCAAAGATATCATCCTTGTTAATTAGTGTCTAGTGAAAAGCAATTATGAAGTAAATGGTATTGAAAATTCCTTACAACAAGAACTGTCTGGTGTATGCATTCCTTTGAAAGAACGACCACTTCACCAACTGATTTCACAATTCGAATACAAGGTAAGCGTTTTATTTGACTCAGTAACTCTGTCAATTGAAAAATTACAGTAATTAATAGAGATGACTGATCCAATATTTTCATTATAAAATATGGTCTTACTTTAAGAATTTTATTAATATAATAAAGGTTCGCGCGTGAAAGTTCTCTTCCTGCGGATAAAACTCATTAGAAACCGGTTTATTTTTGGTCCACTTGATGCTGCAGAACAGACATTCTTCAGTTGTTAAACACACGCAAATGTTACAATATTTTACATGTTTTTAACAAAATAATAATAAACATAATTTATTGCATATATTCTTACATACTATTGATTTTATTTGTCCTAATAATTTACAAATACAACTAAAGAAGAAAAAAATGGAAAAAAAACATTCTTGTACGCATTAAATATAATATAATAACAATTTATTGACTAAAAAATATAACAAACTTCAATATAAATAATTATAAACCCAATAAAATTAACATCTGGAAAAGACATGCGACAGATCAAGGTCGAATGCCTTTTCCAATTTGTTATTAGTAATAATTATATTTTCGGTAGATTAGAAAATTATTGAATTATAGTAAATAATTGATAATTAGAATAACTCAGTTTAATATATGAAGCTTTGATAAGAAAATAAGTAATAATACATAAAAATTATTGTATAACAACATACACAAAGGCTTATTATTATTAATGTATTCAATTAATTATAAAACTATTGTTATTAACAATTGGTTTCTATCTTTTTTTCGATACATATATACATATATCGTTTAAAAGTTTAATATAAAAAACTTTAAAAAATCTACTTTTCAATATTTTCAGTAACATTTTTAAATACTTTTTTGTTGCATTGTTTTGCTAAATATGTTTATGACAATAGTGAATAATATTTATTCAAACACTCATCAATGTGTGAATCGAAACTTTAAAGATGAAACTTATTACGTTGGACGTTTTTCTCATTTCCACATATATTAAATAAGTTATGACTAATTCAAGGCCGGATGCTTGCAAAGACGTGCTGAATATTTTTAACGTTTATGTAAAACTCCTCCATTCAGGGATTTTCATAATAATGTTGAGTTGCATTTCAATTATTTTTAAAACTTTAATTTACTATTTATCATTTGTAACAGTTATATCCCCTATTTTTTTCTGATCATTTATGAATTAATATTGAAAATTAAAAAAAATAAATATTACAATAGTTGCGAAAAAATCATATTTTCAATATAAAAAATATCTTATGAAGCATTCACTATCTAATCTGCCAAACTACTTAAATATGAAATATTTTTATTTCAATCAATATACAGAATATATTGTACAAACTATAGATTAAGTTAAATTTTAATCTTAAATAATAATAATAATATTTATTAGTCACAAAGGGCTAAGTCTTTCTGTCTCAAAAATTGCTGAAAGAGAGGACAAACTTTCAAAGAAGTTTTTATTTATTTTTATATAATTTAACAATTTCTATTGGAACATGTTGGACAAGAAGCTATAGTTTTTGAATGAATATAAATAATGGTGTATGAAAATTAAAACACAAAACATTCAAACGACGTAAAATATTGGTCTCTTTAAGCAGATTGATTATTTAGTTCATAAGGCAATCGATTTATATACATTTCATTTTTACGAAGGATGTTCTAGTGGTGTAAATAAATTATTATATTCGTGACACAAAAGGTTTTGTGTTTTATAAATACAAAAAAGAAATATTGTATCCACTTCTATAATGACTGGGTTTGATACCTACTTGAGCCCTGTGATTAAGACTAAGGCGTATAAAACGTATGTTCTAAATATTTACATGGATTTTACGATCGATTCGTATAGGATTAAAAGGACGTGCAGCTGCAAATTGCCGTCTGTCGAATTAGTTTAAAATTTTAATGGTAATTGCAGTTAGTAAACTCGACGAATGATTTATTAAACGTCGCCATTATTCTAATAAGGAAAAGTTCGCTGATGTCCAAGTGCATTAACTGAGAAATGTATGTGTACATTGTCTGAAATTTTGGTATATATACGAATATTCTTTAAGTGCTTTTGAATAATGAAGATGCGTGCATGGAATAATATTGATCACTTCAATTGCTGCCATTAGTAAGTGTAGTGGTCATCGTTATCTGATTACCCCTAACGTAACACAAATAGAACGATCAAACACATTAGATTAATTGCAACGACAAACTTGTGATTAATTACCGATACAAAGAATAAAGGCGGCTATTTCGATGATATTCAATATAAATTTATATATGAAGGTACATGTGTAATGTTATATGTGCAAAAATAAACACTCGAGTCTTATAGAAGAACTATTTTATTTGGTATCAATTGTTTGGCCAGCTTGATTGGATCTTTATGGGGCCATTTTATGGTCAATTCCGTGTATCGTTTGTGTGAGAGTGATTCATCGATCCTAATAGAAAATTCCATTAAGGCAATGATTTTATAAACTTTTTATGTTTTTCTAGATTATTAATTTTATATTATAAAAATTTCGAAGTACACCTAATTAGCGTTTCATTATTATCGTTTTTTTTTCAAATTGTTCTTTATTTTTGGTTAAGTTATATAAAAATTGAATATGTTCAAAATATTACAGATAATTTTCAAGTTAACTAACTAGTTTAAAAAAATTGTTTTAGATCAAGATGACTTCGAAATTACAACGCGAGAATAGTGTGAATCATCACAAGGAACTTTTCGAACGAGTGAAGTACAACAGTTTCTCTAACATCAAGGACACACTTTCAAAATACCCCAACATAATAAATGAAATCAACTATGATTATGATAAGACAATATTGCAAATCGCCTGCTTTGATTTAGCTGATACCATAAAGAATGAAACCATACAAATCTTGATCGATTATGGAGCTGACGTTGACGATCCATACGGCAGTGAAGAATACAATGCTTTGCACTACGCCGTTTTAGGTTTGTATTTGTTTATCTGTAATTATCTCGAATAACTGTTTCATTGTTTCAATTTAGGCCAGAATCCAGACGTCTTAAAGGTAATTCTTTTAAACACCAAAAACGTGAACTGCTTGGATGACGAAAACAATAGTCCACTACTTCTGTTACTCAAAGATGGAGAGGAGGACAAGGACATTGTGGAATGTGCCACACTATTAATAAATGCAAACATTGATGTGAACTTAACGAATCGAAAGAATCAGACTTGCATTTATTGGGCGGCAAAAAAACAATACAAAGAAGTAATTAAATTACTCTTAGATATACCCAATATCGATATAGACAACTATAAGGATTCCATGAATAAATCAGCTAGATCGTACCTAACCGAATTAGGCTTTAAAGTGGATAATTTCAAACCAATGGAACTTGATATCGAAGCACAGTTGAAACAATTGCTCATAGACGGAGATGAAGATATTTTTAAAAGTGAATACGAATTATACAAAAGCAAAACGAATTATTTGGATTTGGCTGTAGACAAGAATTTGCCGAAAGCAGTTGATTTTCTCCTAAAAGTTGGATGCGATCCAAATATCAAGTTAAATACAAAACCAATTATTACAATAGCTGGAAGTAGGGGATACCACGAAATATTCAAATTACTAATTCAGAATTTCAGCATTCGGAATTTAACCATCCCAGAAAATATTCTTTCTGAAATTTTAAAATGTATAGACTTGGATCCGATTCCGAAGAAAGGAATTGATCGCAACATTTGCTTCAAATATTACATGGAATATGTGACTCCTGTGAACGTTAACATTAAGGATGACAATGGCAGTTACCCATTGCATTACTCTTCCCGATACGCATCTTCAGATGTTACAAAGCTGCTGCTTCAAAAAGGTGCTTCATTAGCGAACCGTGACAAGTACAATGTACTTTCAGTTAGCGAGATGGACTTTGAGACTTTGAAGGAGCACTTCGATTCTTGCATAACAGCGAAACCTAACGAGGAGAGCGTCAAGGAAGATCTTACAATAGTGTTCGACTACAACTGTCTATTGCCAACATCCAATGAGATTAAATTCGATGAGGAAATGGGAAAGAGCAGTGGTATTCGTAAGGATTCCAAAGAGACAGATGTGATTTTGTATATGAGCCAATCATCTGAATTAAGAAACTTGCTTCTTCATCCGTTAATTGCTAGTTTTCTATATATGAAATGGCAACGAATAAGTTTCATCTTTTGGATAAACCTGTTTTTCTACTTACTCTTTTGCTCCTCCTTTATGCTGTATGTGTACAATGGCACGCAGTCTTTTCTTGCAATTATGACTATATTACTCTCCGTGAGAGAAGTTTTTCAATTGATTGTGGCCTTCAAAAAATATTACCAAAATTTTGAAAATTACATTGAAATGCTATTAATTGGTGCTGTCATTGTGTTGCTCGTTACCAATGAACCTACTGAAGAAACAAAGAAACAATTGATTGGTATAATTACAATATTAGCCACTTTCGAGCTACTATTCCTATTGGGAAATTTACCTTCACTGACCACAAATATTGTTATGTTACGAAGAGTTTCATACAGTTTCTTCAAAATATTTAGTTTTTACTTCATCATCATCATGGCATTCGCATTTTGCTTCTACACAATTTTTAATAAAGATAAAGATTCCGAGTTTGAAAGTTACTCGCAAGCATTCTTCAAAACTGCTATTATGTTAACAGGAGAACTGGAAGCTGGTGATATAGAATTTGATAAACATCCAATCACAAGTCATTTGATATTTATTATTTTCGTGTTTTGCATTGTTATTATTCTGCTTAATTTGGTGAACGGTTTGGCTGTAAGCGACACCCAAGAAATTAGAAACGAGGCTAAATTAATTAGTTTGATCGCCCGCACAGAGTACGTAGCATATGCTGAAGATATATTGTTTAGTATTCAAATACCAGCATGGATAGCTGAATATTATGAGAAATTCTGTATTTGTCAAGGTAATAACAGGACACCCAAGGATTCTAAAACTATTTTGGCTAGTCGAGTCTGCTTATTTCCATACTATTTGCATGACAATCAGTTAGAGGTTTACCCAAATCAAAATGGAAGAGTTAAATTTGGAAACCGAAGGGACCAGAGATGCAAAATCGTTCTACTCGATAATTCCACAGTGAGATCAGCAAGAAAAATGATTCAAATTCGGAGGGAGAAAGATAAGGAACATAACCAGTTATTGGAGAGTCTAACAAATATCATTAAAAATGAACTGATGGAACTGAAAAATCTTAATCACTTTAATTCTAATTTTAAAAATCCAAAACTTGTATAATTTATTTCAAATCAATTGTTGACAAATATTCAAATCATATTCGTAAATTATTTATAATTGTTATCATTGATAATGTTTTTATTTTAAGTGGTTTTAATTTTGATTGTTTTATTATATATATTTTTTTATTGTATTTTGCATATTAATATTCACAATCATTAATTATAATGAAATTACTTTGATTATTAACCTTCCGTCTTTTGTGTAAGGCATCAAATGTTTGATCCTCTAAATCTAAATATTTCTCTAGAAAATATACTAATTTTCCTTACTAAATCCTTAAAAAATGTCCATATGAATAGTATCAATAAATGCTATTACTTATTCATTGAAAATGGCACGTTATCGAAGGTACTTTAATACATTTAGTTGTGTCTTAGTCACGCACGCCTATCGTCGGTCACAACTGATATGAAGTATGCCATCTTTACAGATCCAGAAGTTTATGAAAAGATATCTCTGGAAAATATACTAATTTTCCTTACTAAATCCTCAAAAAATGTCCATCTGAATAGTATCAATAAATTCTATTACACCTTCATTGAAATCGGCACGTCCTGGAATACATTTAGTTGTGTCTTAGTCACACCTATCGTTGGTTACAACTATTATGAAGTACGCCATCTCTGCAAATCCAGAAGTTCATGAAGATATCATGATTGAACAACGCCTAATAGTTGGGAATTCAAAATAAGTACACATCTACATTTCGTATTGCATATGAGAATTCTGCTTCTGTATTGTTCATGAATGTGATAAAAGCGTATCACCATCACGTTATTTAATCATGTTATGAAAATGGCAAATTTACTGAGCTTCAATCTACGGATTACGCATAGTGGGTGGTATCAGTATCAGTTTGGAAACTTCCGCTTGGAAGCAACAGTACAAATATGATCAAATAATATTGTTTTAAGAATAGTTACTCTGTTTGATAGCGCAAAGAATATTTGAATGACCATCATAATTTATTTAACTGGTGTCTACGCTCCAGGAAAACCTTAATACGACATTGGCAAAGCCTCCAAAGCTAACGGTCTGCCACTAAATACTTCCCAAACTCAGTGATTCCCAAACTTTTATACATTGTGACCCACTTTTTAGAAATCCAATTTATGGTCTCTCTTGATCCTCACCTAATATTTGTTTATTTTACTTTCCCATATCTTATGAATTTCAATTTTTAAATCATAAAAATATACATTCAAGATATTGAATGTTGTGTACAATAAGTTTTTTATTGTTTTTAGAAATTACTAAATAAGGCGGAAAAAACTCGTTCGATAACCCTTTAGCACTGATTGTGGCTAATACAAATGTTTAAATAAATAAAATAGTTACTAAACAACTTCTAATCAGTAACAAGATTACTTTATATAAAATTATTGTGATAAGTAAATCTATCTATTTTCTATCATATTGTTCAATTTTATTTCGAACGTTGACATTTTCAATAGTAAACCTCAATTACATATATATATATATTCAAAGTTGGTAAGTGCATTTTTTTTATTAATTTAGAAGCAAAATTGTAAGTGTCTCATATACTTTTAGATTTCCAAAATTACAACTATGGATTCTAGCAAAAATGCAATATTATTACGATTAATAGAAGAAGGAGATTGCATTGAATTAAAAAACTTCTTAGACAATTGTATAGAATATGAAAATGATATTGATTTTGACCGTCGTCCACTTTTCGGGTACCCTCAATTTAACTATGATTGTTTCATAGCATCTGCAGAAAATAACGATGGACTCATAGACGACAGCCATGATCGCAATATTAAGAATGAAGTGAAAGAAATATTATCAATTTATAAGAATTCCGATTTAAAACCGTTATTAGCGCATCCAGTCGTTTCCAGTTTTCTATATAAAAAATGGTCGAGTGTCTGTTTACTGTATACATTGAATTTCATATTCTATATATTATTTAGTTTATTTCTATGCTTGCATATTAATAATACTTCAAATGGTATCTTTAACTTTTTGTGTAAACTGTTTACTTCTCTAATGATCCTCAGAGAGAGTGTATTATTGGTCTGGACGTTCCAAAGTTACATCAAAAATTTTGAAAATTATTTAAAGATATTTTTCATTATTTCATTATTAGCATTGTTCTCTACTAATCTAACAGACGTTGAAAGCATGAAACAATTAATTTCCGTTATTATTTTACTTGGTTCTTTTCAATTTATATTTATCATGGGGAAATATCCAGTGATGTCCGTTAATATAATTATGTTCAGAACGGTTTCCTTTAACTTTCTGAAATTCTTTTCTTTCTACTTCTTTATAATCATCGCATTTGCCGTCTGCTTTCACAAGCTTTTCGGCGAAGACTCCGACAACAGTTTCAAAAATTATTTGCAGGCTTTCTTCAAAACTATCATAATGTTAACAGGGGAATTCGATTCGACTGCAATACAATTCGATAGGCATCCGATAATCAGTCACGGTATTTTTGTTACTTTCATCTTGTTTGCAGTTATTGTCTTGCTTAATCTGATCAACGGATTAGCGGTAAATGATATACAGAAAATTCGAAAGCAAGCGAAACTCAACAGTTTGATTGCTCTAACAGAATTGTTGTATAATATAGAAGCTCTGTACATAAATGTGAATGAGTGCAAGTGGATGAGAAGTGCATTAAATTATTTGGATAATATGCGAATTTTATCTTGCATGAAGAAATATATTTGTTCATTCTCTTTATCGTCTAGAAATCATGAACAGGTAAACTTAATTCAGCAAGTTATGGTGCCTAAAACCACAGGAGATATACGTGTAGCAAAGAAAATACTTCATATGCGAGCAGAAGAGGAACAACAGCAGGGTGATAAGCTCCTCAAAGAAATAAGGAAAATTGTTAGAAGTGAATTGGATCTGTATTTCAGGAAATAATTAATTAAATGTAAAATATTTAATTTATATTTATTTCTAATATTTGTATTAAATTATTACTATTAAATATTACCAAAAATATATACATGTAATATTTATTTAGATAATATGCGTTAATACCTACCATTTTTAATCGCAAGTTATTAGTCTTTCTCAAAGTTTTTAATTATATTTTTATTATGCTTTACTACATCGGTCCTCAACCTTTTTGACCTCACAAACCACAAAACTCCAAATATTGAATGTCGCGGACCACCAAACTCAAAATTTTTAATCCAGCATACAACTACAAGGACTTAAAAGAAATAAAAGAATGAAATAGTGCCTTTTATAAAAACGCAACTAAATAATGCAAAAATTGCAAACAAAATGGATTCACAATATAATAAAAACATAAATAATCGTCCATGGAAAGTCCATTTGATCCTGCGGACCGGGGGTTGGGGACCACTGCTTTACTACACTAGAGAAATACAAAATAAAATGATTGGGATAGAATATCAAAGATAATATGAGGGATTTTAATACTTCTTAAAATTTCATATAATCAATAGTTATAGTATCAGAACAAATGTAGAGTTAATGTTAATTAAAGATTTAAAGTCCTATTCAGTAGCTACGTAAAGATTATTGTCATTTATAAGGAGATGGATTTCATACATATAGAATAGTAACAGTAAATATTAAGAAGACAATCAGATGGTAAAAACTGAAAACCACTTGTAACGCAAACTGCTATTACTTGAATTAGATATTCCACATTTTGTATAGAATTGTAGATTCATACCTAAACAATAATAATTGACTGCTATAAGTTAGAATCAATTAAAATTACGGAATTGGTCAGATCAAAATTGTATTCATGAATATTCAATATTAAATGGTATTTTTAAACATAAAATAAATAAGCATCAAAGTCATATAACATTCTTTTATTTACTAGAAAATACAACAAAATACTAATTTCTTACAGTTTATAACATAATATTATAATTACATAAATATTATAAATCACTAGCTTTTTGGTAATATTAAATAATAATAATAATAGGTACATGTTATAAATATAAAATATGTATCACACATGTTCACAACGTAGTTCGTTTTTAAAATTCCTTTTAAAATAACAATAAATTAATTGCTTTCAAAAACAAAATTAAATATAATATAATATTTTTTACAAAAAAAAATTATAACAATATTACAAAATATATTTTTCTTTAGGTTTCATATATAGATATATTTTTTGTGCATCAGTTCTGTATAATTGATATACCTCTTTGTGACTAGCGGCTAAAGTATAATATCGTTAATACTATTACCTTCTTTGTTTACTATTTACATATATTCTGTATCAAAACTCATAGATGGAATAACATATGGTTTGGATAGGTCGGGTTGATCGGATTCGGGTCTCGCATCCGAAAAGAAATCATCTGGCTCGTCGATCTTGTAAGTGCCCACCCATTCGCTTTCTGGGTCAGAGAACAGGTTTGAAGTGTCTTTGTCGAGAATATCCTCAATCGAATACTCTGAAAGTTCGGCCATACTCCGTGAACGATCTTCTATGCGCAAAACTGTTAAAAGCAACAGATCTTAGTTTCAAAGGTAGGTCAATGGTTTGTATCAACTTACACTCGGGTTGATCCGCTGACCAAGTCGATTCGTCCCAATCATCGTCAAATTCCAATTGGCGGTTCAGCTCTTTCTCCAAGTTCGTTTGGAACGCGGGATTTTCGCTCTCGGAAACATCAAAAATCTCAGTGACTTTGACTTTGTTGTTCTCATCTAAGTAGTAATATGCCATGATCGCTTCGTGCTGAGCAGTTACGTGCAAAATATGATCGAACGTGTCGTCGTCCACCGGGGCATCCGTCTTATTCACAGTCATACTAGGTTTCCTTGATAAGACTTTGTTTGTAGTAAATCTTCGTCCAGAGGATTTGCTCAAAGGTAAGTCTCTGCATATTCAACAACAAGTGTTAATTATGAAAATAAATCAATAAAAAAAAAGTTCACTTACTCGTCGTCCAAGTTGAAAGTGAAATTTAAGTTCATTTTGTTTGTACCTTGACAGGCTTCGACGTCGAAATTGTCTGAAAACAATTCTGAAAAAAAAATAAGTAAAATTAAATAATATACTTAAATTTAAAAAAAAAATAAAAACATACTTCCGCCATATTCCGTAATAGCCAATTGGCAAGAGATTTTGGCACTGAGCTGTTGACGTTTGCTGTTTACTTTGTTTAAGACGGACGAGAACTGATCCATGAAGAATTTGCTCATATCCCATAGATTGTTTCCCAGAAATGGAGCGGACGACATTAGTCTAAAAAAAAAGGGAACATTTTTTAATGAATTCCAAATATTGCATTTGAATACAACAAATACGAACAGAACTAAACTTCTTTATCAAACATGAAAAGAATATGTTATTTTTGTGTATTCACCTCTTTTTAGTTAAATGGGTACATGGCTGGTTATTATGTGCTGTTATATGGCCTTTGACTTTGTATTGTAACGATCTCGATTCTAATTTACCACCTACCACGCTATTAAGAAATATGAATAAGATTATTAAACCATACTATAACGTAATTTCCATTCACATTTAAGCACCGTATGATAAGGTTAGTATTAAGTATTTCTAAGTACAAAGAAATGAAATATCTTACTTGGTGAATGTTGCGTAAACCATATCTGCGGGAACAGTGTAAGGGAGACTAAGTACTGATAAGAGTTTCATGCCGCGATGCTTAAAGACCCAATTCACCAGACCCTTATTGGCGGTATCGATTGCATCTTGGAAGATTGTTAAGACGGTATCCGGTAAATTAGAAACCAATGCTTCCTACAACGGAAAAAAAATAATTGTAAAAATAAAACAGCAAATCAGCAAAACAAATTCAAAGTCCGTTTGCTCGATAAGAACAAAAATGTACTTTGCGCACTGAGTAATCACCATCAAATTTATATTTATACATTTATCTATTTACCTGTCTGTGAATTTTGCATTCGTTACATTGCGGATCGTACTCGAAGCTTTCATCCAAACTTTCAGACACGACAAAGGTCGATTGCACAGCCAAGCAGCGAGTACAATTGATTAGGTTGTTTCTGTGCAAAAAGCGCAGAGCATCGTCGAAACCTTGCTTGCACATATTTGACAGGATTTCCGGTTTCGGCGGGAACAGGATCCTCGCTATTCTGTATATGTTGTGCTTCGACAATTCAATACTAGTGTTCGCTACGTTAATCTGCAAATTAAATTAAATTAATAAACGTTTACTTTTACTTATTTTTCAGATGGGTTTCTTACGTGGAATAATTGCATGCTGTCATCTCTGGGACAAATATCGCTCTCACCGCAGAACGGACTGACGGTGATCGTGTTCTCGTCTAGCGTTGGAAGATTATCACTGAAGCCTCCATCCATGTATCTAACACCATGGAACTTTGGTGGAAGAAGCCCCGAAAATAAGGGGATGAAAGCAGAACACAGCAAAGCCTGCATCAAATCTTCCTTGGAATCGAAATGCGACACGATGACGTTTTTGCCATCGTAAACGCGAGTCAAGGAGATGTGCAGTTTGCCATTCACCATCAAGTGAGCATCATCTGGAAGGACCTGATCAAAAACAATCGATTAAAATCAATATCTCGCAGAAGTATATGGCTTGGCATACTTTAGAGATTCCTTCAAAAAGGATATCTTGTATGTTGAACGACGGTGCAAATGGTCCCAATGACTTACTCCTAGCTTCGGTTGCCACCCTAAGCACATCGCTGGTCAAATCACCTGGAAATAATAACAGGAAATTATTAACTTCCTAAATCTACTTATAATGAGTCACGATTATGCTGCGCACTTGACTCAGCACAAAGCATAGAATATTTAAAACGATCTTTACACTCAAGACCTTGTTCACTCATCATCGCATTGTATGCAATTGTTATGTAATTTTTTAGTTTTTTCTAATTTAAAAGGAAAAAAATGTAGAAACATTCAACACACACTCAATAGACAATTGTTAAGTCATCTAATTAGATCCATTTTTCATTTCCTTTCAAGCAAATCATGTTTATATTATAATAATTACGTCTTTACATATTACGTATTTGACTGTATAATATTTTTTGTTATCTAAAGGGGAAAAATGTGCAAAATAAAATTAAGATTAGATTGATAACATTTCATTGTCTATTCCATGATAACAAACTTTTTGTAAATCGGTTAAAGTAGGTACTTGTACTGCAAAAAAAAAACAAGATACATCAATCGAAACGAAATATAACGGTTCTCAGAACGTCGACGAACAATTTATTGTGATTAACCTTCCCACTTCGCAACAACAATTTGAAGCCACTTCCAGTATTATAAATATTCTAAGCTTGCGTCGCATTAAATTAATTATGTTTGAAACGGACACGAAAACAAAAGTTGAAACAGCAATACTTGTTTACAATATTACTAACGTCATCTATTCTACATAAACAAAAAGCGATATATAAATAAAATAGAATTAAGCATATTTTCAGTATTCATCAAACGTATTAATTAGTTGTTGATATTATATTTTTGATGCATAAAAAACTGGAAATAATTCATTTCGTAATTTCTTTACAATAAAATTTCTTAAATTATATTCAGATTAATTTGATCAATTATATATAATGTTTACATCAATTGACAAATTAATTTAACAGGTTTTGTAAATCGAAATTAGTCTTCAACTCTGTTCGTTTACTTGGAAAAACTTGTTGTCAAGTGTATACAACATGATGATGTAAGGATTTTCTATGATAATTGGTAATGAAAGTTTTAAACTCATTAATCATCTCATGAACAAAGCATATGAAAAACAAATGCAAAAAGAAGATATTTCGATTAATTTTCGATATCTGAGAATTAATCTGTCGAGCAGATAAGCTCTGCAAACTACAATAGAATATCAATATTGAGATAAAATTTTATAGGAAAATCACCAGTCCAACTGCCGATAATACTAAAATAGAACTGCTATCACTTCATTAATAAAATTATATTCAAATAAAATTTTTAAATATATATGTTAATTACTTGAAATAGATTTATGATGGAATAAAAGAGGCGATCTAAAAAACGTTAATCTTTTCACAGTTTTATCAACGACGACAGAGAGAATGTTGTTCGAAAGCACTCGATTTTACTTTGTGCAAGTGCACAACTTTCTTCGTATTAGCAGATCAGTGAGAGCGTTCATAAACCTACTTTAAGTAAAAACTAATAATAATTAGTGAGTAATTAACTATACATCGAAATTTATTAAGAACAATGTAATTATTTATAATTACGATTCGATTCGTAAAACCGATATTGGTTAAAGCCTAAGTAATTAATTTAAATTAACAGACTTGGCACACTTAGTAGACACGTTTTTGTTTATTTCAATAACCAAGGATTCGAATCCTGTGAAAGACAAATATAGCGATCATGAGAATATCGAGAGGAATTTAATCGGGTTTTCTTCATACGCAACATACATACGAGCAGAGATAATGCGTAACAAACATCTCCTCTTTGAATACTCTCGGTAGAAAATTTAATTTCCTGAACAGAAAAGTTAATGCGAATCGAGCGTGGTCATTGGCATTTAGCCAAAGAAATGTTATCGAAACCAGTAGAAAAAAACGTTTTTAATAAAAAATTAAAAAACATGAATTCTATCACTCCAAAAATACATAACGTTTAATCGTTGTTTATTATTATGTTTTTTGGCACTGGTTTGTTTACTATTCTTACTGCTTATGCAAATATTTACTCTGCTCTATCGCTTTACCAATTACAAAAACATTGAATCATCCGCGTGGGAATGTGAATTAATATTATGTTTTTTTTTTCGAATGTTTGTGATGTTATCAATTGTATACTTTTGTTAATATGCGCGTTGTTCCTGAGCACAAGTCGTGTAACTAACATCGATTGTATTAATATTCTTCTGCGCTCGTACGGACGACCTCATTATCATCGATACCAAAACAACAGCGGCAATTATTTCGAGTTTATGTAAACAGTGAGTTGTTGAACTCCTTCCTAACATTTAGGTAAGCCTCCAACTGGATTATCATCGTGGCTCCGTTCCCGCCAGAACCTCAGACACTCCACGTGGAAATGTTTTCGAAGGCACGAAACGCAAACACCAAACGGTGATAAAAAAAATATGTATATGTTTAATCAATTCTAATTACATCAATAACATTTAAACTTATCGTAATATTCTCTCAACACCATTCCCATATTTGTTTCTTATATAAAACATTTATTTCTTTTTGTAAACATTCGTTACAAAAATATGCGACTAGCAATTTTGCTTAAACTGTAAAATAATTTATTTAAAACAACGTAATAAACGACAACAACTTACATTCACCTGTAGTTACTTCAAAAAAAAATAACACGTGCGGAGTTTCATTGTAAAGTAAACAAGTTTTTCAACTTATTCGACGAAGTGTTAAAAAAATGTATACTTGAAAATATTAGTAAGATATCAATAATAAATATATGTACATTAATAATTATGTAAATATTGATAGTAAAAAGTTAACTTTAATTTTTTTGTACTTATTTTATATAACAATAACGACAAATAAATTGATACAAATATAATCTTGATGATCAGATGAGTTTTCACTATCTGTACGAGGTTCTTCTGGTGTAATTAATTTGATAAAACGTTAACATAATTATTATTACATTTGATCAATCCATCAAAAAATAATCCATTGAGTATTAAATGTTCTGGGAAAGATCTATACCGAAAAATTAGTAATAGTTATAATTAGAAGGACAAAGAATTTTGCAATGATTCTAGTATTTTTATATTTATCATACTTATTTGTTTGTAATCACGTAAGGAACTTTGAATTTAGTCTATAGCGATCTTAATTAATAATTTTATAATATTTAGGAATGCTTTAACTATTATTTGTTTCAGTAAGTTGTTGAAAATTATTAATACTCTTTACTTAGTTTACAATGAAAATAAATTATATTAATTTTAATCACAATTCGTATAATCTTTCAGTTTTTGTTGTTTTTCTTTCTATATGATCACTGCTGTTAAGGTACTGTAACTATATATGCTAAATATACTAACAAATCGTGTGGTTACGTAATGAGAGATTGCTCTTGAAAATGTTACTTAATGTTGTTAGTAAACAAATAGGTTTCCTGTAGATGACGAGTGTTTATAAAAAAAAAGGTCATGTGTTCGCTCTTCTGCTGTTTGCTTTAGGCGAACGGATAGAAAGTACATTTTGGTATTATAGTGTATTATAATGTAATAATTACCTAATGGTAAATCGCAAAGAAGACAGCACGCTGCGATGGCTCCAGCTGATGCCCCAGAGATCTTGTTCAGTAGAAGATGTGGTGCATACTTCCTGAAGCAGACAGCTACCCCTGCGTGATATATGCCTAGGAATCCGCATCCAGCAAATGACAAATTCATCTTACACTAGTTTAACAAGTAAATGGATAGGTTTCGATCGGTAACTGTTATGATTTCAATCAAAATATAAAGACTAGAATGGAATGTGTTTGCTTCTCTTCTACGTATTATTAAGTTTGGACCAAACGGAGCTTCCGTATAACAATAACAACACGAACGCACTGAGTAGCAATCTTGTGCTGCATACAATTTTGAATGAAACGAAAAACGTGGTGGGGAATGGACGTCGTCCATTCGCTGCAGATAGGTGGTGTGGTCCAAGGCCGTCCAATAGAAACACTCCAAGCCGCACAGCTGATCGAAATCGCGGGATTTTTGAATGGCTTTCACATAAAATGTTTATGCTTTCTATACTACTATATCCACATTAATAGCAATTAACCATTTATTCAATTTATTCGGGTTTGTATAATACTTTAATGCATCATTTTGTGGGTGCAATAGAACACACTAGTAAGATCTATTCTTTCTATTTCTCAGAATATAGCAGGTAGATCTATAAGCCGATGGGGGTAGATTTTAGGGTAGATTGTTTACCCAAGGAAAGCTATATCTTTGCTGTTATGTCCCCTAACACCAACATTTTAATTATAGTTATTACAAATAAACGCATGTATGTGGCTTTTAAGACCGCAATAACCGATTATTGATTTCAGATATTGATCGATCCAGTTGCTACCGATAATCAAAAAATACCATATATTTATAAAGTAATTAAATTTAGTAAATTGGTTACAGTAAATCTTACTTAAATAATGATACATATTATATACCCAATGGTTATCATTCGTAATTCACGATTGATGTACAAACCAAAACCATATGAATGACATTAAGTTAATTGTCGCGTGTCCCAGAAGAAGACAAAGCAAATTCTATTAAATTAAATAAATTATACCGGTTTTAAAATTTTAAAACAAACTAAATTTTAATTGGACAAAACATAAATAAATTCTAAAAAAATAGTACACAATATTTAATTAATTTATAAAACGAAAAACTAATAAAAAAATAGTATTCTAACATTAAATCTTATATATTTCAAATATGTATTTATTTATTTTGTGTTATTACACTTTTAATTAAATTTGTCTGATGTTGAGAAACTCGTTTGTAATTCGAGTAATACTAATAATATTGGTATACATTTGCGGTGTAAATAACTGTTAACTAAAGTCAATCTCATATTTAATTAGGATTAATGATTGAATTTACATAAATCTCTTAAATATTCATGCATATTTTATGTTAATAAAAATTAAACTATAAATACATATTTCTTGGTCATCTACTTTTTAATAAAGAGAAGCATTCATCTAAAATTATTGATTGTCTCTTAAAACACTATTAATATACACTGCATTAATGATCGAAGTGTTTTTAGTAACAATATAATATGTAAAACTTGATTTTTCTCATCAAATGGTTTTTGCTAATACTTTATACACTTTTTACACTAAATAAGCATTTAACAGAAAACTTTGCTTAAAAAGTGTTAATACAAATTGGTAAATAATTAATAAAAAAAATGATATTTAAAGTAAAAAATCATTGTATAATATTTTTTAATTTTTTACTGCGTCTTTGTCATTATCTAAAACGAATAGTTAAAGTATTGCAAAACCAACTTTAATAAAGGATTTCGATTAATCAATGCCATTATCATCAATTATTTATTTTTTTAAATTCAATTAATTCATGTTTCCAAGTAATTGAAGTATTTCTTTGGAACGATTACTTACAGTCAACTACTTAGTGACTCGGTGTCATTTGCAAATTGGTTTTAAATTGCCATTCGGCTGTTACATTATAAGCAATGAAATATCAAAAAGCATTGTGTTACCACACGCCAAAATAACTTTAATCAATAATTACATCATTATGTAGAAAAAAAATTACATGAAATGCATGCATCTTAAGTAATGACATCTATGTTTTAATAAATTTCATGTATTGTTAGAAGGATTTTTTTAATCCATTGTCATTCAACAAATCAAATTTGCATGTTCATCAAATATTGAAATGTTGATTTCATAAAGAAGAATGTAGTGAAATATTAGAATATGTAAGAAACTTTTGGAATTTTGTGTTGATATCTCATAATTTTTTGTTATTACATTCTGATTAAAATATTTCAAATTAAATTACTTGGTCCGTTGCATACATTTATTAACAATAATTATGTTAAATTATTTCCTCATTAATTAATATGAAAGGAATGTGAATTTACGTGAATTCATAATAATGAAGATACAAAATCAACTACCATACTAATAGAAAGAAAATTTTAAAAAATTATTGATTAAATTTTAAATGAATTAAAAAAAATATACTACACAAAATAATTTGTTATAAATATAAATGATCGGTTTTTTCATTATTTATATGATGTTTTAAAGTTCTCAATTAGTCCTGTTTCAAATAATCCGGGACATTGAAACAACCGATTACCCGGACAATTCAAAATATTTCTGTATTTATATTTTGTGTACTTGATTTAGTTTATATTATGTATAAGAATAAAAGGACAGAAAGACCTATAGTCAATAGGCCTTTGTATCAGTTGACTTTTTTTGAAATTATATATATTTATTTTAAGAATAAAATTTTAAATAAATGATAGAAACAATGGTCATAATTAATTGTTTATTTACTTATCTATAATTAATTAAGATAAAAAACAATAACTTGTATATAATTCAAGTGTGAAATGTTTTAAGGATTTTTGAATAAGATCTAATTTGTTTAGGAAAGTTTCTAATTAACTTTTTTTAAACTTAAATATGTTCATTTATACCTGCACGAAAATATTGTCAGTTTGGTAGCAATACATGGACCTAACAACACAATGAAAGAAAACTATTAGAAATGCTACAATACTTTATTGCCTTCCCAGACGTTTTACAGTTTCTCTATGTAAGGTTTCCTCTCTTCTACAAAAAAGTTTTATAAAAGATAAACATATAATTCTATGGTAAGTTAAAATCAACTTTCTATACAAATCAAATTAAGACATTTGTTTTTTGGTATACTTTCCAATGGAAGTTTTTACAGCTATTTTCATCTTTTAATTTGTTTGTTGGCTTCAGTAGTATATTGATGTTCTGCGATTCCACTATTCCCTTTGTCTGTGTATCTGCTGTTATCCTTAACACTGTCATTGTCCATCGACTTTGCTAGTGCCATATGTTGAATCTCATCCATTTTATGAAGAACGTGAGCTCCCTCGGTGCTTGCAACAATAAGACCATTGCTGCACCAAGGGAGCTCACAAAGCGCCTGGCATGCCTAGGATTTGAACCGGCGTTAACGGGACCGTGGATAGGGCAATCTTAACCATTCGGCTTTTACCTGTACAGCACTTTGACGCCATAATATAAAAATGGTCATAAAATTCAACACTACAAATTACCTGTTTTACATGCTGCTATTGAAGTTACACATATTAAAGTAAGTGGAAAGTAGTAAGTACAAGACCATTAAATATGAGTTTCTTTGGATATCCGTATTGCGTAGAAAAACTTATAGAAAATTGTTTCCGTTCTACTTAAAAATTGTTCTATTAGTTCTCAATTCGCAAAGGATTACTGTTAATATTCTATTTATACAAGACTATAATAAAAAAAAATGTACTTCATATTAATTATATTTAAACAAAATTACATTGAAGTGTAACTTCAATATCTATACTAAAATAAGATTAAATTAAAAATAAATTTAAAAACAACATCAGAAAGAAAGAAAACCACGACCATTCAAACATTTCAATATATTTAGTACTTTATCTACATATATCCATTCGATACGTTAAAATTATTTTCGATTCTAATATTTAATTATTTACTTACTTAAGCAAAAGGATTACAACAGAGGAACATACAAATGAATGAATTGAAGGTCGTTAGCCCTAATTCAAAATTTGGTAAATAACAATATTTAAAGAAGAAAAAACACTTAATTGTCACTTCAAATTTCTTTAATAAGTTTAAATTAAAATGTTATGTTTTTAAGAACAAGAAAGGAAAGAAAAGAATCATGACCATTCGAAAATTTCGTTATATCTACATCTGGTGGCAATCGCAAGTCCGACAACCGAAATACCGTCTATCCGATAGATCGAAATCCCGACGTTCGAAATCCCGGCTGGCTCAAAATCCCGACGTTTATTATTATAATTTCAACAATAACATTTTTATGGTAGTCGGGATTTCGATATAGTCGGGATTATGGTAGATTTTATAGTCGCTATTTCAAACGTCGGGATTATGGTAGTCGGGATTTCAAACGTTGGGACTTTAATACAGTCGGGATTTCGAACGTCGGGATTTCAATAGACGGTCTTTCGGTTGTAGGACTTGCGATATAGACCCATTTACATCAACTTATCTACTTCATCCATTCAATAATTTTAAAACAAAATATTTAATTCTATATTATTTCATTTACAAAACAAAATGCGTTTTATAAAATCTGTATAAACAAATATTTAACGTTAAAGATGCTTTTAATCTTTTGGCTCGTAAAATCGAATGTTTTTTCTTTATCTGAGCAAATGCTAGGTTGTACAAAGAAGTGTGATTAGGAATGTTGTTTTTCCGTTTCTGATTATTTTTTTTTTAGCTATTATTATTATTAGTTTCTGCGTTATGCGCCTCAATTGCCGAGATAATCCTTTACTTATCGTAGATTTTGTTCCAATTATTGCTATCTCTTTTTACTATTATTATTGTAATGTTTCTATTTTTGCTCAGTAGTAAAAGTGTATGTATTTGCTCTCAATTGGTAATTAATCACTCAACTCCTTCTTTGGTGTTTACCGTATAAAATTCTATTTTCTTCCTATTAAAGTACCAATCGTTTCTATCAATGTTTAGAAAAGATTTCACTAAAATAGTTTGAGTAAACTTTGATTTACTCTCCAAATTATATCGTTTTCAAAATAGTAATAACAACTTTTAAATCAACCAAAAAATAGATGAAAAACAATCAAATATTATTATTTGAATGCATTTTAAAATGCAATTTATAAGAAATATGTATGAAAATCAAAATATTTTTAATATATTATTATTTAATCAAATCAAATACTGTTTTTTTTAGAAATATTGTGTTCTAAAAACACTCAACTTGTTTTAAATTGATGCTTATTGTTTCTG